GATTATATGTATAATTATAAATCTCAATAATTTTGTCGTAATAAAAGTATAAGAAATATGTAACTTTGCTAAAAATGCTGATGAGAAAGTATTATATGTATATTGTAAATAATTGTAGAATAAAAGCACTGTTTATATCTCTTAAAGCATTTTTATACCTCTATACTCCAATAAAGAGACATGTTAAAATCTTTCGATGAGATCGCAAAGCAATGCCACGTGCAATTGATATCTTGGAATTTTTCTAGGACGACAGTGTGCAAGGTAGGTCAGGGTCTGATTGCAGGAAGGAAGCAGTTAGGCCCGGTTAAAGTCGTTAAGCTAAGTTTACGAGGTGTTACCGGGAGCGTAACCTGTAAATCTCAAAGGCATTCGAGAGAGAGAGAGAGAGAGAGAGAGAGAGAGAGAGAGAAAAGAGAGAGAGGAAGAGAGAAACGCGTGCCAGTGGCCGCCCTTGGAAAGGTCGCGGAAGGGGTAATGGATATAACCGGGATGTAAGAACCGAGGTAAGACTACTTGAGCGCTATAAACGCTTTTATGGATCGTAAAACGTCTTCCTTTACAGCCAATAAAGATCCCTGACCTACCCGTTTGGCGAGCGAGTAAGTAAACGCGCGCGTGAAGAGGCGATGGTGATCGCGCATCGATCTGTCGAAATCACGCTTTACTACGCAATAAAATCACGCGGCATCGTACTTTATTTTCTCTTCATGGGACTGCGAATCGCGGGTTTATTGGATTATTGACCGATAGCTTCGGGAATGCATTCGCGGGGAAAATGTGAATAGTCCTGCCGACTCAGCACGGCGAGCGTTTTATAGGACACCAATACCAGCATGCGCGCACACGACCGCATCGCCCGCGTCGTGCCGGATTCGACTCACCACGCCGAGAAACAGGAAGGTCGTGAGTTACTATATAACCACGTCGATAAAAACAAACCATAAAGCGCATTACGGGCGATCATCGAACTACCGCTCAATATATCCTGCTTGGTAGGTAGAGGCAACCTCTAAATTAAGTTATGTACCGACAGAGAAGTCGGTAAGAAAGATAAACCGTTATCGACAGAGTAATGCTGATTCGTGCTGCCATCTACCATGAGAGTGGTTTAGATAGATATAAAACAAGTGCTTGGCGGAGTATTACATGGAGCAATTCAAATTTTGAATGTTATTTTTCGTATTTTGTGTACCTTAAGTACACATTTGCTAATAATTGATATAGTCAATGTATAGATTAATAATTTTGTGTCATTAAACAGCAATAAATTTTTATAGTACGTAATAAACCAACGCCAAAAGATAGATATCCACGCCTTAGCCACGCCCACGAACGGAAGGATGAAACCAGCCATAACTTAACCCAGAAACTATTGAAACCGATAGATGGCATTGCTATTGGTATTCATACATTATTATGCATGTAGGGTAAGGTGATACAATATCGAATATGGTACAATTTTGAACAAAATAAAATAATCCAATCTTCAAGTTTGGTAACTCTGATCTCATTGTGTAGAGAGTAAAGGAAAAAATCACACACAAACTTGAACTTAAAAAATTGAATACACAAATTTTATTTCATTCCGAATTGTACCATATTCGAAATTGTACCCACCTAACTCCATAAAATACAAAAAAGATAAGAATTCAAGATTTAAAGAGTATCTAATATTTATAAATTAAAAAAAAGATTAATTAATATAAAAAAAACAAAAGAATGATTTTGAGTGTACTAATCATAATTACTAATCGTAAGTGTTGTAATCAGACATGTTCTTGGTTATAAATAATTTGCTCGTTTCTGTTTAGAAACATGTTTGTCGTGCGCAATACGACATGTAACATGTATATTACACGTATATATATATATATATATACACATATAATATATAAATATAAACATATTAAATATTTATATTATAAAATCATTTCTTTTATATAAAATATTTAATTAGACTATATTTGTGCGGTAAAATTTCCTTTTTTTATAAGCACATGTAGATACAAATAAAATATTGAATGCATTTTTTAAACATAAATCTGATAAGAACAGTCATGGCAATCCTAACTTGATAGGATAAATAAATTAATCATTCGATATCGTCGCGACTGTCTCATACATTGACCATTAAAACTCTCCTAAATTGCTTTTTCATGTCCTCTATCAAAATTTATCTTCCCATATATCTAGATCGACTCACAGAAGCAAATCTACATTTTATTCCTTTTCGGATAATGGACGTGGAATTCGGAACGATTTACCTACTTTTACAAAATTCTTTATAAAATGGCAAACATGTTTTTTTGTCTACTTTATTTATTAAATGTATTAATTATGAAAAATAGAAAATAAAAAATATATGTGATAAAAAAGATACAAAAATATAATGAATAATAAAATCAGTCATAAACAAAATTTTCAAATACATATAAATTTTCGTTAAGCAAATCATTTATTATATTTCTATGATTGTGGCAGAAATCGATAACGATTCTATAATATTTCAAGACTACGATTACTCTGGGCGATTAAATAAGCACGGTTAAATAAATATTACCGGTGAAGAGTTATTTAATCGCGTTTCAAGTGGCGTACAATTACGGTGCAATCCACGGAGTTAATCGGGGAATCGCTTCGCTGGCGTAATATTACGTGCAATCGGGACACAATTTATGCCCGAACTTCTTCGTCGCCCGAAGATACCAAAAAAGAGATATTAAGCGCTCCAGTGGGTTCCGAAGAATAAGGAGTTTCGATCATAGTTCTCCGCCTGGCGTATTTCCTTTCTGCCGCAGACGTATTAAATATTTTGAGAACGTATATGCAATAAATTAAAGTTTGCGTGATTTTTTTATGGTAGTGTTTTTACAATATTTAATGTTTTACTTATGTATATTACATTAAAAAATTTATTTTAAAAGAGAGCTCTGCCTTTTTTACAATAATTTAAAACAACATAATCGTGTGTGTGTGTGTGTGTGTGTGTGTGTGTGTGTGTGTGTGTGTGTGTGTGTGTGTGTGTGTGTGTGCGCGCGCGCGAAAATTTCAAAATATAATACATATTGTAAGCTTCAGTCGATAAAAAGTATTTGTAAGAAAGAAAAAACGTATTTGTAAGAAAGAAAATATACGTGCGTAACACAATTGACAATCAAAATTGCATGCTACTTTTAAAGTTAGTGTGAGTTTCTAAAGTCTGTTTTTTTAGCTCAAATATACGAAGACTCGTAAATATCTTTCAGCAGCGACAAAGATTCACGTGAAAGTGTGAAAGAAAAAAGCGGAAACCTTTTTTTACAATTGATATTGTCTGGACCGACCAATTTAAAGAACGTGCCCTCTATTTTTTTTACAATGGATAGTTGGTTCTCGAGTAGAAATATAAATTATACAGTAAATTTTTTGTGATAGAGCAGTGAAATTGGTACCATTGTCTAGGTTTTTTTTACCTAACTGCGCTTTCTATACTTTCTTTTTTGTGTCATCCACTTGCTTCAGACAATCTATCGTTTCTAATTTATAAGTGACTTTCTCTCTTTTTTTTTTAATTTACGTACTTTGGCAGTTTTCGATTTTGTAACTGAGAAATTCACAATACGAAACGTCGTAATTTTATTTCATACCCGTTTAAAGCAAGGGAAGCAAACACAACGCGATAAAACTGATAAGTTTTTTATTCGATACTGGCAGAAACGACAGGAAAAACGCGACATGATATTTCAAGTTTGCGTTCGTCGCTCCCTCGGGATGCACGTTCAGCGCAAGTTAAACACACGCGAATAGCATAACTTAGAAAATTATGAAAGCACGCTTGTATGCGGTTTATCCTCATTAAGCCCGCCGAGTAAACTTAATTTTAAAGCCGCTGCTGCTAAAAGCTCGAATCTCATTTTTAACGCCGCTTTTAACGTTTATACGACTACCGTTTTTTTAATGCATATCACATAATCCTAACTGTTGCATCAAACGCATACGTCCACTTTGTTAGTCTATAAAGAGTGCTAGACTGCGATGATTCTATATTCTAATATTGCCGAAAAACATATATGTACTCATAAGTATTTCAAAAAATGATAACAATAAATATTACAACAATTATTAACCCTCGACAACATGAATTTTGGCTCTTTCGTCAGCAATAGGAGTCTTTGAAAAATAGAACAGATTTTTTATTACTTCGGATTGTATAAATATCTAAAAAAAAATTTTGATGCATTTATCAAAGTTTAAGGGGATCCTTAACGCCGTCTGTATTGCCGACTAAATCGTAATTTTTGTATAACAAATACTTTTTTTCTCTTTCACAGATTCGAAAATCCTTTTTCAGGATTAAAGTATACACATTAATATGTATTTGTGGAATTTATTCCGAAAACAACAAAAAATTTCGAAATTGAAATCTTAAGAAAAATTTTTTATCGTTCTCGGCATAAACTCCACTTCACAAATACGTATTAATATGTATACTTTAATCCTGGAAAAGGATTTTCGAATCTGTGAAAGAGAAAAAAGTATTTGTTATACAAAAACTACGATTTAATCGGTAATACAGACGGCTTTAGGATCCTCTTAACAACGTTTTTATCATCATAGAAGTCGAATTACATTTTACTTATTTTTACAAATTTAAATTTACCTATCAAAATTTACAATCAAACTATTGATACGGTCTTTAAAGACCGTAATTATCCGAAGGATTAATAAAATTATAGTTATTTGAATTTACATGTTATATGTATATGTTTCTATAATAGCAAACAATTTTGTAGATATAAAGATGTCTTTTTTATTGACATCATTATTGAGAATATAAATACAAAGAAACATAATATGTATACATATAATAAATATAAGCATATATGTATGTAGGTACTAAAATGCTTTAAAAAGATCGATAAATCTTTTTTTTTTTTTTTTCAAAAAAAATCATATTACGACTTGACGATTAGCTCTCAGGAAGAAATGGAAGTATAAATAAAAAAAATCACACTTACCTTTAATATAGCTGTGTACATTGCGGTGCTAGTAGAGGGTGGTGTGGATTGGCGGTGGGGTGGTCAGGGGGGCTCCGATGCAGGGCGTACCCCTAGTTGCCCCCCTCTGGTCCCCCACCGCCTCCTTGTTGCTGATGCGCAACCGCCGCCGCTGCCGCTGCCGCCTTTTGCGCCTGCGCCTGCTTCTCCTGCTCATTTAGCTCCTTGATCGCCTGAATCTCCTTCTTCAACTTCATTCGCCGATTCTGGAACCAAATCTTGATTTGCCGTTCTGTCAGACAGAGCGCGTGTGCCATCTCGATTCGCCTCCGCCTGGTAAGATAATGATTCGTGTGGAATTCCTTCTCCAGCTCCAGAGTTTGGTAGCGCGTATAGGTCTGTCGGCCGCGCCTGCGCATTCCGTTCGCCCCTGCGAACAACAAACAAGGGTTGCGATGAACTCTTTTTGTTCTTTTCTCATGCTATATCTATCCGTAAGAATTACAAACAAAACAGCGATTGAGATGATAACATTCTTCAGAAATATGTTAATTCACTCTTATATAAATATACCGAGCCACGCTTTGAATGAGATGGCGCGTTAAAAGAATTCTATTATTTCGCTGATGATAATAATACGTAAACCATATCTTCGCATAAACGTTGTCAAAGTATTTAAAATTAAAAAATTGATTAATAAAAACATATTGAATTTTTATTTAAAAATAGCAGGAGAAATATTAATATATACATTAGCGAGATATTTTGATGGGAATTGAATGTAGATTCAGTCGATTTGGCATTTCATTCTTGCTGCTTATCTTGTTTTAAAACAAGTTATGTTATCTTTATGAGCTGCCACTTAAGATACTTATTAAAAGAGCATTCTAACGAATTTCTGATATCCCGCAGCGCTTTGGGACTGCGAATATCAAACGCGGCGATATAAACGAGACTCGTGCCGATAAAGGAAATGTGTAAACGGCTTAAAATAAAGCGTGGCATGAGTCGTTCCGAGAGAAAGTAAGGGAGTATACGACAGCGAATAGGTACTGTTGAACAGTCACTTGGGTACAGTAGCGGAGTAAGCCCCGACAGTGGGGGCGCAAGCTCACCTTATCGGCCATTACTGCCTCGTAAAAACCTTCCCGTTTCACCTCTGCCACCGGTATCCAACCTAAACCAACCTCTCTTCTCGGCCGTAAGCAGACTCCTTTTACTCTATTTTTCCTCGCATACGGTGCGTGCCCAAGTGCATAAATATCCATAATATTACGACTTTTGCTATCGGCTTATCCTTCCGCATTCGACTTGGATCGATTATTCCAAAAGTACAATTAACCAATGGCCAAGAATAAAAAATGAATATATTATTTTGTTCTTGTATTCTTTCAATATAACTTCTTTTAAATTTTCTGATCACTACCATTAACAGAATAGTTATTGCTAAAATATTAATAAAGAATTCAACATGACGACAGACTCTTGAAGACTCACAGATAAACTCATAAATAGTTTACAACTTAGAAAAAGTACATAGTAGGGGAGACCAGGATCAGTAAACTATAGGGGTAAGTAGAATAATCGGGGCTACGTTACAAACAAATCGCGCGAGACACGCATAAATCCGTCTGAGCACGCAGCAGCAACTGTCGCTCAGTCTGCCGTATAACATCTCATTGCGAACACATCTATGATAGAAATTACGCGCTACAATTTTAAAAAGTCATACACCTAAGTAAACATTTTTATTCTTAAAGTTTTTGTTTTACAATCGTATATAATTGTCTTTGAAATATTTTATTTCTATTTAGATAGTAAGTGTAATTCTTACTTAATAAAGTCTAACAGATTTTGTTGTTTATCTGTCTTTGTTATCGTATACCGTTAATGTTTTTTAAAAAATGAACGGATGGGGCTAGTAGGCTAACCACGACACAGGGCTGTATGACTAATTTAGTGACGACTCTGATAGTATCTACTCTCAAACTTCTTGGAATGAAATCTCACTCTAAAAGAGTGAAAATACAATCAGTTTTGAAAAAGAGTGAAAATGTTTCACTCTTCTTGAAAAAGAGTAGCAATATTTCATTCCTTTAAAGAGATTTACCTCAGTGGTAAATGTTATATGTTTAGTTCTCTCACGTCCAATCTCGATAAAATTAGGCTCATTCGAAGTGTTTTTGCACGAAATGAACGAAAATTTAGCAAAAAGAAGCATTATTCTGTCTTGCGAATCGAAATATTAATTGTTAAAGTTTGTTTAGTTAGAAAATCTGTCATTCGCTATGCTCTGGTAAAAATGTTAATAGAGAAAAATCCTATCGTTTCGAATATGAAATTTGGTTCGTAAATTCACTAATTTGAATCAGATCTTATAGGAATCTCGTACAAATCTTATTAAATCCGATAAAACACTATAGGATTCATATCCGGTCAATCATGATGCTCGCGAGTCAACGATAGAAAATGATATAAACTTATAGAAAACGATAAAAATTGATAAAAATCCTGTTCTCAATCATTCTCTATCAACTTTTTTTACCAGAGCGATGTCACTCTGTTCCATAAATAGCTATATTTTCACTCTCTTAGAGGTTTCACACAAAAGAATTTAGAGAGTATTCTTTTTTATTTTAAATGCACCTATAATGCAGTAATTTTTGTAGTTTTAATGAATTTTATTAATAAAGATATGAAATAATAGTTAAATTATATGTATAAGAAATCTTTCATGCATGAAAATGTACAAATATACATAATATAATAAATTATATATGAAATATGTCCATATATGTTCATACATCCTTCTTTTTTTTGTAAAATTACTTTTAAGTCTAATAGAAGTAGTAATAATAATGTGATGATATTAAGAATAGTTAAAAGGATAATTTTGTGAACATGTGGGCACATTCTAAATGCATAAAGAATAACTTATCGTATTATGTTTGTTATAACTGCAATTCGGATAACGATTTAGATTAGATAAATTGTTATTTAGTACAAAGTTATACATTTTCATAAAAGTTTTGTTAATATGTAGCCAAAGATGTACCTTAAAATATACATTAATCTTCATTTTAATAATGTTAGTCAAATTACCCTATACCATCAGTCATCTTACCCCGGTCCCGGAGCTAGTTAAATCAGATGGAATGCATTAGAAAAATGCATTTTTTTCATATTAATTATCAGTTTTCCCTTATTTTTAAAATATTATTAGATAGTCAAATGTATGTAACTGGCGTAGAATTCATTTTTACGATAAGTTTCTTAATTTCGTCTGCAAAAATTCGAAACTGAAAAATGAGCCTACTAGCCCCGATCTCCCCTATATACTAGAAAAAGGTGTAATCTAATATAATAAATATAATAGAAAAAAAGATATCTATTTTCAAAAGTTTCAAAACTGCCAAAAAATATGATATAGCAACTTTCTTTGAAACATGCAAAATTAATGCATCTCAACTATGCTCAACTATGCTCAACTATCCTAATACAAACCAAATCATCTACTAAATGTTTCAAGTTTACACATAATCGCATCACGCTGATCTGTTATCACAAGGTACAAAATGTACAAAGTTACAGGGTGCCTGACTGATGCACATACAGTCAGAATTCCAGACAGCCATTGTATCCATATCATACCCGAAACAAAGTTTATATCAACATGATGTTTGCTATCGCGATGTAATCAAGTGCCCTGCCGTCCAGGCTACTACCCCTTCGGGCATCTCTACTCATCCTCTATCACCCCCGCGATTCTCACGCTAGGTTGTCATATCGGGTTTGCGTCGCATGGAAGGGTGTGGAGTTACAGCGCTGCGTTTTTAACGGTTATTTGTCACACGGACCCCAACGAGTCTGGTTCCCTTCCATTTCAAAATCTTCTATCAAACCTTCCTATTATCCCTAGCAGAATCATTCTCTCTCCTTGTATTGGCACGCGTTCCGAAACACGCGGACATCGTAGATCGAAAGCGACAAACTTTCAAATTTTAGAAATAAAACTAAACATTCCATCCTAATTAAACCAATTTCTTATATTTGTATGCAAATAAAAAATATAGAATATTATAACACTACTTGCTGTATTTATTACGTACACACATTTATTCTCAATTGTAAGGTTTTCATAGAAAATATTAATTTCTTTTACGAGATAAAAAAAAGTATAATATAAAATAGCAAAGACTACAAAATATAAAAAAAGGAGATAAAAATATTTTACTTTTAATATTATTCTTTTACTTAGTTGTTATTTAACCCGGGAATAGTCATCTAATTTTTTTTACGTAAACGAGATGTGTTTTCATTCTATTTAAAATCACTATCATTAACAACAAATAGTATATTATTGTTTTCTGATTTATTATTATTTGAGAACATTATGGATAGGAATTTAATCATAATTTTTTTAAAAATATAAGTAGAAATCAAATAAATATTAAGCGGAATAAGCACGTTAATAACTTATTATGTATTTCTAAAAGTAAAAATTTTAATTAATGCTTTAATATTGTTTCTCTTTGTTGATTTTCGATAAAATATGTATATTTAAAGGTTCGTAAAGAGTTATTAAAAAAATGAAAAAAAAAATATTAATCAATATCCTATATTATACAAAATATTTTACAATAATTCACTCGCCGGAATGTAAAATATCCCAGGTGACTATTTTCGAATTAATAAATAATAAAATTTTTTACTTTTTACGTGACATCTAGATATATATACAAATATATATATATATATACAAATTTTAACAATGTATAATACTGATGTAGAGATTATCTTTCGTTTTTAATTATTTACTCTCGAATTTACATGTTTCGAATTTACAAATTACGAATCTCACTCTATATGACGTCTCATCCATGAGATATCGCACTAAACGAAATTAAGGGATGAAATATCAAGATTACCACACTCCTGTGAAGTAAAAAGAGATGTGCATAGCTGTTTAACCGAAGGGGTGGATAAATTTTATGCTGAGACCCTAAAATGCTTTCATTTGGAGGAACAAAGAAAAAGGAGATCGGCAAAGCATGCCGGGAGGGATTGGCTGGCTGAACAGCAAAGTGGGAAAACCGTAGAGCACGTTTAGAAGAGCGAAAAATATTTCGGTCGTTATTCACGCCTTTCTTGAAAAATGTTTGCCCGTATATTCTAAAAAATTTCAACCTCGCAGAAACCTTCGTCCGACGAATTGTTCTTCCAAAAGTTTAAGTTATAATAAAAAAGTTTAAAGTCGTCATATCATAAAATATTATGAGAGAAATAAACTTTTTTTTCTTTTACCAACTCTCTCGAAGTTGTGTTTTATTACGAAATTTTTAACTATTTATCAATGCATAATTATTAATTTGATTCATTCGAACTAATTCTCATATTGTTTCAAAAAGTATATAAAAAAAGGATCTTGAA